TCAAGGGTTTTTTGGTCATAAAAAAGTGATGGAAATTATCATAAAGTTTAAAACATCGAACCTTAAAGGAACAAGGTTTTACACAATGCTCACTGAAATTAAATTCTTGTATTTAGCGGCATTTGCTCAGTGTTAAAGTGAAACTATTTCTGAGCAAAAGTGAACTGAAGCTATTAAAGGTGCTGAAAATAGTCATATGTAGGTAGTAGGATAAACGCCTCAATAAGGTCTTAAATGAAATGTGCTACAAGTAGTTTAAGCAAGTAGGTATATGATATTTTGTTGGGAATTTTAGCGCCTGTCCTACCTAGTAGGGCCACCCTACTTTTGGCGGTATGGTGTCACAAGGGCCCAACATGCCATTAAATTGTTAATGAGACATCGAAGGTGGCGTCTAACGACATCCCCGAAGACATATGGTTTAGGTGCCACATTTTAGATGCGATTCGAACTGGTCACTTTCCCTACTACGCATTCTTTGTGAGTAAGATCATCAAAAAGTGGTAGGGCTAATTTATTGGGGCTGTGATTCTCCGGTACCTATACGGAAGAACGGAAGAGTGGCGCCTAAGCTGGGCAGCCTTAAAGGTAGTCAGATTTTTTCGGGATTTGATAATGCAATGTTGTTTCTATTGAGTAAAATATGTTGCAAATGAATAGTTTTGATAACGCCAGTTGAAATTTATTTGAAATTTTATTTTCTAGTTAAAAAATTAACATATATTGTATATTTTTGTTTTTTTTTGTCATTTTCCAAATATCAATGGTCCGTTTGCACTTTTCTAGCACTTTCTTTAATTTTGCCCGTTTTCGTATCTCTTAGATATGTCAATCATTTTTTCTTTTTGCAGTTCATTTAACGTCGCTCTAATTTTAACAGTTTTTTAAAATTAGATCTCTCATATGTCTCTCAAGTACCTACTGATTTAGTTTCCTAAAATATTACGCAGTTAGTACAAGCATTACATTCTAATCGAGAAAAGATCAAAATTGGCGCCATCTTTGTAGAGTCATAAGAAGCGGAGAGAAAATATTTGCATGAAAAAAATTTACAATTTTGCTAATAATGTCTTAAAAACGTCGGAATATCCTACTCTGGAGATAAGATAGGAGCACATTTTTTTTGCACATCAAGGGCGGATCCAGGGGGGGGTCATGGGGTCATGGGGTCATGACCCCCCCCCCCATTCAATTATCTATCCAACGGTGTCAAAACTAATTCTGTGGCTCGAATGGTTCTTGAGAAACTTCGAAAAAAGCAGCGTCATGTTCAAGTGCATTTTGCAACTCAAAAAAAATTACGCCAATCTAAAACTTCTTGAATTCAAGCATTTTTTGAGAAAACTGCCAACATTTCCCCATCCATGGTTCACTTTCTAAAAGCGTCATTTATTTCTGTCTAGAATGATGT